TTTCAGTTTTCCTTAGCATTTGGCAGGGGGGATCGTAACCTCTTGTAGTGAGAACCAGTGTGACTGGCCTGCCAACGGGATGCTAAGGTTTTTATAGTAAAAGTTATCAGTCACGTTCGTTAATGTAACTTCGTTTTATTTATCCGTATATCAAAAATCACTATATTATATTATATTAGAAACGATCTGATAACATAATTACTGTTGAAGACACTGACGACAGCAGTAATTTAATTGACAGTTCAGCGATAATTACAAAAGAAGAAGAACACATTAAGGTTATTTGAATACATTTATTATGTATTTAATTAATACCCGCATATATCTTATGTTAACATACTGACCACACTTATAATTAACAAATGCCATATAAAATATTGATAGATATTGATGTTATGTGTATTATGTGTTGTATGTATATGACGTATGTGTTTAATTGTCTAGTTGCCATCTTTGTGATCTTGTGCGCCCATGCTGCATTCCACATTTTGATATTTATTTACCTTGAAATAGACGTCATTCTGCTTATTTGACAACAAATTGCAGTACAATGCAACATATATATCTCATACAATAGTTGCATAGAATATCTGTTAAAAGCTGTTGAAGTCAATAAATGATATTTGTATTTTGACTTGATAGGAAACTGCCCGGAATTATGTGGCTAATTTATGTGGACGATACGTTAGACGGATACATCAAGATAAGTTGCGCAATCCAACTGGTGGAGTTCGACATTGCAGTAAAGGAGTCTGTCTTTGTCAGTTTGTACAGATAGAGTACTTTAAGGAGTCTGTTTGAAATGGACGTTAATTTATTTATCATTACATTTTGGTAGCATCGCATCTGTAACGCGTTGTAACGCGCGTAAAACCATTGATTGTTCGCATACAATTCGATTCTGCGTTCTTCCCGACGACCGCCTCCTTTACATGACTGAGAGTATTTTGACGTCATTGATTGGTAATTGTTTTTACAAAGACGCTGATGTTCTAATTCACGTGTTTCCAAATTTATATATTCCTTGATATTCCGATTTTGATCTCACTGATATTGTATTAAGTATAATATATTTTAACTTGGACTTTGGCATGATGTTATTCCTAGCCACACAACCCGTCATCTTAATGATTATACCTTGGTTGACTTTTAGCTGACTTTCATCTGTCAAAATGATTGTTATTACATTGGTATATGTATTGTTTAGTTTGCAGTTCACATACATACAAACCTTGGCTAAGCCACGTTTTTTGGACATTTAGAGGCGAATAGGAATTAAACTCCTTTATTTATAGAAATGTTTTTTTTTCTTTTAGCGTATTCGGGTATAATATTAATGTCTATGCAGGCGAATGTGTGTATTAATAAGTGTTTAGTTAGCGATCAATTGAAGTGCCTGTTAAACACCGGGGTCCTACTTTTCAAAATAGATAATATGAATTTGAACCCGTATTGAATAGTTGGAAGGTGTTACAATAATTATCTGATCTCAAAAAATCGTTTTTATATAGCCGGCTAGGTGTTATGCGTATCTGAGGCCATTGTACTTTAATTGCACCCTTGTGAAAAGAATTACATCGGTAAATGTATTAAATATGTGAAATCCACTTTCTTTTCCTTTTTTGTAATATCACAAATAAACTATATTGCGTGAACTGCTGGCTGATAATATCAAGAATTAGGTTGCAATTTTTAATCATGGATCAGTGCTGTGCCCAAAGTACTAGTATATACAATGTTACTACTAGCACGACAGTTTTAGTTGTCAAGCTTCGCGAGAGACAACGGCAATTAGGAGTAAGTGCTTGCCGACCGCCAAATATCCCAACATCGTGTTTAGTGAAAACAATAGTTTATAGTATGAAAAAGCCTGGAATCCACTCATTCTCAATACACCTAAAGGAAGTCTCATAATAATATACGGCATCTAGTCTGAAACAACAGGCACCTCAAATTTTTATGTTATTTATAAAAACATTTCCGATAGAAGACAAACAAACTTCTAACAAAGTCATTGCCATAACAGTAGAAAGACTGCCCGCCCCACGGCGCAGTGGAACTCAACAATTTCCGTTTGATTAGTAGCTGACTTCACGCTTTTATCGTCCGCTTTTATCTGCCGTTGTTTCCCTCTCGATGCGACCGGCATAAAACAATTTTAAACTGTGCGTACCGTAATATTAAACTAGGCTGTAAATAAATAACAATTAAATTATGTATTACAGATGAACTGAGAAACTCTACCAAACGAGTACGTTCTGATTTGTGTTGCTACAAACACCAAAGACATGACGCTTCACCATAGCGATCGGTTTAGATAATAACACTGGTACTGCACATACGCCGTTGTAGAAAACAGGACTCATACTATGTTTGGAATAGTTAGGGTTTTATGAATGGGCTACTGATACTGATTATACGACTATTTTGTATTTCCGTACATGAACATGGAACCAGTCGGTATCCATAACCGAGAAAGTCAATCCCCGGTGGAATCAGCTAGTTCGCCGAAAAAGAATGTATATTGAGACGTGGAGTATCGGTTATATTTCGTCCAAAACGGCTAATTTTACTGTCGCACACGGAATCAATTATGTGGGTTTATTTTTTGAGTGACTTAGAAGGGAATTAAGTTACGCATTGTCAAGGGTTACATATTAATGGTTCGAAATATAACAAGTTGAACTATTGAAGTGTGCAACTCAATAATATACAACAATATATCCCTTTTGAATTAACTGTTAACACACTATATGCATGTCAGAGTGTACGGTGTCTCAAGCTATGCGTGCTGGAGGGCGCTACTCTCGTCCGGTGAAGAGTGTTAGAGTGGTTATAAACAGACTTCAATAGTTTCGTACGTATGTACACATCTGCATATAAATAAATAGTAGAGTTCAGCAGTTCATCCACTTTGACCCTATTTTCCGAAGGTGACCTCATTACATTGTGTTGTATATATATATATATATATATAGCTGCCGCCGCTGTGTGATATATGTGTTAAATGCAGCTTTTGACATGAATTATGTTAATCCTCCGAATCTACTGGTTATCGCTAGTGTTTCCCGCTATTCACGGCTTTACGTGGTATTCCATCCTGCCATGGGAGACGTGCAGTAAAGCGTGGATCACATTGGACACAGACGGTAAGCCGGAAACCGAGCTCAGTCGGCATGCAATGTAGTGTGACCTATCCGATTTCACAGTGATATATAAACTAGATGAGACTATATCCGTGTAGATGTCATCATTTAATAGAACTTGTGATAACAGTAAAGGTTTCATTTTAATAAAGCGAGACTTAAGTTGATAGGTCAACCTTTAATAGCGCTGGTGTTCAACGTGAAGGTCTCTCTTCAACAAGGCCGTTGTTGACCAGAAAGGTCACACTTTATTATGGCTGCTGTTAACCGGAGACGTCTACCTTGAAAAAACTTCAATGAAATAATATGGACGGTGTTCACTAAACGTCGCCATTTAATAGATCTGGTGTTAACTGTAGAGGTATAACATTAATAGGGCTGGTTTAACTAAAGACGTTTCACTTTATTAGAATGGTGTTAAGACTTTAACAAGAGTATATCGGAATATGTGCATTGATTTAAGGTACTTTTTGGCCGATTTAGTTTAGTATACATGTCACCAATGCCAAAATGAACACCTAGAATAAAATCCACATTTGTATTTTAGGACTCGCTCATGACCTAGAAAAGAATGTTTTTGGTCAACACATTGTGCGTACTGTCGTACTTCGATCTGTGTCACGACATATAAACAATCGTAATCCAGACAAGGCACTGGTACTTTCATTTCATGGTTGGGGAGGAATTGGTAAGACGTACGTGAGTCAGTTTCTTGCCAAAAATCTCTATAAAGAGGGTACGAGAAGCAAGTTTGTACATCTGATAACATCGTCTGACTACCCCCATTCTAAGAAACTAGATGATTACAAGGTATGTTGCTATAATTGCCTGTGTTTATATATTTACCTATGCTAAGTGTTTCCTTATAGCTATTATTGTCGACATGTGACAGAGTGTTATATATTATAATTACGCACAAGTATTATTTAAATGGTTATGGGGCCTGTCTTAGCTTCCAGAACAGATAATAAAATGTCAGGTTAATATAAATCATTTTGATAATCACAAAAAAAGACCTTGGGCTGCATATTAACGTTCCTAGGATTGTTTTATTCCAATAGGATGAACTACGATCACGTATTATGGAGGCAGGGAAATTGTGTGACAGACAGCTATTTATATTTGAAGACATGGACAAGATGCCGCCTGGACTGATCGACGTACTTAAACCGTTTATTGACAATTATCCCGAATATTTCAGCGTCGACTACAGAAAGAACATATTCGTATTTACAAGGTAAACCTGTTGCATTGCTCCTGTGAACGCCATCATATGTCACGCAAACATGTATTTTTTATGATGTCTTTGCTACTTTTGGCCCGGGTAGACATAATTTTTCATTGGATACTTCAGCACAAATGGTTGTTAAATGTCGACACAATAGAAGTAAAACATTACATACTTAACCAACCTCTACTTTACTGGGTGACAATGTGTGACTTTGTGTTAGACGCCAACTAGTTATATAAGCTCTCAACAGAAAGTTACTGTTTTCTTTCAATTATATATGAACAAAAGTCATTTCACAACTACCACACTATACTGGCATCCCAAGCCATTCGCGGAGATTGATTGGTAGTAGTAACTTAGAATCTGAATCGCTAATCAGTGTTACATATTTTTTTCTCGGTTGCCATCTTAATGGAACCCATCAATTAAAATGCGTTTTGTAGCAGTGTTTGATAAACTATCTTTGGAAAGAATACTTCGTTCGGGAATTGTCCAAGAATGAATAATTAGCGTTCTTGTATTTTTTCAGTAACAGCGGTGGTCATATTATTAATAACAAGGTCTTCGAAATGTGGAAGCAAGGCACACCGAGAGAACACATCACAGAATACGATTTGCATGAAGTTATTCGCAAGCATATATTCAATATGGATGGTAAGTTTGTTCATCTTTTATTCACCTAGGTTTCTTGGGTTTATACGGGTAGTATTTCCTTTTTACAGACGTATATCAAAGAAAATGTTTATATTCAAACTTAACTACGTGTGTTAATTGTTGTAGGTGGGTTATGGCACAGTGATTTGGTTGAACAGAATTTGATCGACTCTTTCGTGCCGTTTCTACCACTGGAAAGAATCCATGTTAAAGAATGCATCCGTGAAAAATTACGAGAACGGGGCTACCTATATAAACTGAAGAACATCGAAGAAGTTATCGCCACAATTGCAGACCAGCATCAGTATTTCCCAAATGATTCTGAATTGTATTCCTTAGCGGGTTGCAGGAGAGTAAAACAATTAATTGATTTAAATATTCCACCAGACGTAAATGACGAGTTATAGCAATAATGTGGTGGTGAGGATTATAATTCATCGGTGAAGGAAGTTTCAGGAGCAATATTGGAAGCCGAGATGCAACATATACTTATATTTTTATTATTTTATCATCATGTGTGTAAAATGTATTATTACACTATTTCTTGTGGCAGTATATCATTTTATTCATCTTTCGAATGTCGAATGCGCACAATTATTGTACCTCAACCATGAGTTAAATTTAGTGTCTACAGATTGATTAATAGCACAACCGAACTTTGTAATGTAGGCAAAAACTTAGTTGAAAACCTTTTCAAACTGGTCAAAATCCAATCTGTAACCGCAAAATAACCATAAAACATATGTGAACACACATTTTTATGTGCTGAGAAGTTGAGATTGGGAGAATTTGCAATGACATTTTAATATATGCGATTTAAAATAATTATAATAATTCAGGAAATAGTGTGTAAACTACTAACATCATAAGCTTGCATGAATCTATCAGATAGACTCATATATGTACGCAACACAGTAGTATTCATTCATTATCTTAATGTCATACACATTAGATCGTTTTAAAAATCTGTTATTCCTTTATAGATTTGATTAATATTTATTTAATTGCGGGCAATCTAGTGGCCGTATGTAGTATGTAGAAAAATTGCCGTTTGTACATAAGTACCAAGAAACTGAATAATGTATTTAAAATATACTGATGTAAACACACTATCAAATCATCTTTGTTGTATACAAATTATACACATTGCAAAAAATATGCAACATTTTTAACTAACTGTTATCCGATATTAAATTTAAACATTTCAGCAATGTTGTTGGGGTCTTGTCGGATTGCAATATGGCGATACCAATCTACGCTGTTGTATGTCAATTGTTGGCAAAGTGGTGTGTCATGTCTACTTTCATAGAGAAGTTGTTTCGTATTATTTGTTTTAAATATGGCGCATTGGTCGTTGTACTCCTTTAAAAGGTCCCGAAAATGTGCCAATTCGACTTCAAAACGTGGACCAATTTGTCGAACTTTTTCCCACAATGTTCTGTTGAAATGATTATAAAAGAGATAATCTGCATTTGACCACTTATATACGTTGTGTCGAAATGTGTCTGAGATGGTTTCACGTGTGGCACGTTGATTCTTTGTTAAATATATTATGTCTTCAAAACTCCAGCACAGCAAATTTTTCAAAACAATCAGAGATTCGTCGAAGTATTCAATAATAAGAACTAGGTCGAATTCTGTGTCCAGTCTCATGATGGTTTCATTCACAATAGTTTCATTGAGTGTTGATTCAAAGGACAACCCGAATTCTCTCAACTGATTATTTCTTCCCGCCGTAATCATATCAGAACGGGGATTTTTAAAGAAGGTTTGTATGGATGCCATTACTTGTTCTCTATGCTTGAAAAAGTTCATATGTGACTCTAGTTGCGTAGCTGGCTCTCTTAAAATAGTCACATAAATAGGGTTGTACCCCATGAATGAGTTTATTGTTTCTCTCTTGTACAACACATGACCAGTAAGAATATTGTATTTAAAAGATGCATTAACAGGGCCGCCTATCGGTGGCAGTATAACAGACTCATTGATATGCACTTTTCGTATATGTCCGTTCCATTTGTTACGAGTGGAAAACACGAATGAGAGTTTATTTGCATATCCGTAGCGACAAAAAATGCAATGAAGTGAAGTACTTCCTGTTTTATGAGTTTTTATAAAAACAATATTATCTGCTGGTTGGCACGTTGATGGCGTGGTTGGTGACGGTTGTGTGATGTACAATCTAGTACTATGCGACACACTAAGAGGTAGTGGGTTTGGCGAGAATCTGCTGTACCATGTGACAATGGTTGCAATAAGAATTAACGAAGTCAGTATCTGTAAGGAAAAAAAACAGATCAGTAATATAATGAACTGTTTGAAACAATTAAGTCAATAAAAATTGTATTTCAATTTGAAATGCCCTGGGCACCGATCACCAAGTGCATATTTGCAGTACATGTGTTACAGTACCCTTTGAAGTCAGTGTTACAATTATATACCACATTGTTTGCGTAGAATTCTGTCGCATGTAATTGTAAATAAGAAAAGGTGTGCCACAAGACATTGAAGAAACCGATAGTCTTTCTATGACACTACTAACTCTTCAAGCACACTGTATACTGTGTATAGTAAGACAATTCGATGACAAATTAAAACAAAGCTTAGTACCATGTGCGGCGATTGTTATTATGCGTTTCAAAACAATTAGTGCGCATGCGCTTTATGTACTTTCATAGTTTTAGTCAACAAATACTTGCGTGTGAGAATAATTCATAATTGAATCTATCCATCAACAGGCTGTATCGAACAGCATTATTAACAATGCAATGTTCTCATCCATATTGCAACCTCGGTTTAATATATACGCTGCGGAGAACAACGCCACTATGACGATGGTGCACTACAATTTCGTACTTTGATGTGACGTTTGTGCATTCAACATAATTCGACCTTCAAAAGTGCTGATGAAATAAACCCGGAATGGCAAGAAGAAAGATTGTACCGTGTGTTCAATGTACCGAATATTTGTTAAACACGTATTCGATTATGGAGAACCGAATTATGTGCATATTTTAGCGAATATAATAATAACAATAATAATACCAACTTACCACAAGTTGAAACCTTTTAATGTAAAAAGTAGTTCTGATCTTATAACGCATAGTCTTATTTTATAGATATCCAAATATATTCTAAGAAACAAGTAAATGTTTTAATTACTATATATGCAGACGTGTGCAGCATAGCATAGAAACCTTGGGTGGCTGTTGGTCTCATGGTTAGTTTAAATTAACAAGCAAGATGATTGACCCTCACCCCAGCCAAAACCAAACTACAGGCCTTCGCACTGTGACATAATATCTTTATAATATTTCCATCAGTATAATGTGAATCAAAACATGTATTCATATAGAGATTGTAAACCACATGCTTGTAGTTATATAGTGAGGGCCAATCACATACTTGTAATCATGTCTATTGTTATCCACACGCGCATGTTCATATAGAGATTGCTGATTACATACATTGTATGTACATACATTGGGATTGTATCCAATGGGGAGGTGGTTACATGACATGATTTGCTGAACAAATCTTCTCATTTGTATGAATTCATATTTATGAAAAAAAGGTGCTTTCAGTAAAATTGTGCCAACATACTTTTCGATGGCTACTATTGTACAATTGTAGTTTTAAATTGAATACGTAATTCGTTAAAACACAAAAACACAATCGAAAAATGTATGTGTTTAAAAAACGTTTTTATCAGTGTCCAGCAAACTGTTGAAAGTAACGACAGTTTTTTTCTTTAATGTGACCATAATAAGTTTCGAAATTCATGGAGTCTCGTTGATATTTCACTATGGTATTATTGTTCATAATGGGAAAAATTTGAATGTAATAAAATCACTCCCACAGTTATTTTTAAAGTTTCGTGGAGGAGTATTGCAAAAGATAAGTTGTTGGGATTGACGATGGCTTCTGGACGACTGACTTTGAATTGTTCATGCCAGATAGTGTGGCACCATCACTTGTCAAACTCCGATACACAACATACATGTATTCATTACTTATGAAGTAATGAAATATCATTACTTATTACTTACGGTGACGTTTATTTTCAGTGGCTAATGTTTTATAATAAATTCGTACAATGAAATATTACGTTTTGTGAGATATTTACCATAATCTAAATAAGGAATGGCTACACGATCCAACGACTAGTCCTCTGTATAAATGAAAGCACTGATATGCACAACCTTTTGGGAAGGTGATTGTAGTTGTAGGTATCTGATATTTGAATTTACATTTGTTTCTTTCACGACAGAACATGTTGGTATTATAATAAACACTAATTCGTATACACCTACTACTGTATCCAATGAAGTTTCAAAATTAGAAAGTTGAGTCAAAAAACGAAATCAAATTTAGAACATTATTGGATTCAGATCGACCTCTTGACATCATCAAATGATCACCATAAATACCGTTTAATCAGACTAACTTTCAATCAAAAACCTGTTTTTGCATTCACAATAAAATATGAAATCTAAAATTTTCTGACTAACTCTATCAGTAAACTCGAATAATAACGAGAACATTTCGTCAGTTGTGAAGGTATGTCAATGCGCTCAGACGGCAGCTGACCTTCAAAGTTGTTGGTTTCACTCTGTCGCTACTACACTCATTACTACATTCTTCAAATATGCAATAAAGCAATTTCACAAATTGTATGCAAAGTAACAGATTGAATAATGTAATATTATATAACTTTGAATACCTTAAAAATGATTACATATCGCCAGATGTACGTTTAAAACATATGCGAGGGATGTGATTTGATGCTGTCATCTCCTAAAATAACTAGTTTCTGCTCTAAATGGTCATATATGATGCGGGTCTGGTACACACACAAAAGCTTTTCTATGGCGACATAAACTATAAATACGTCTGTCTAGGTAGTTTTGAAAATTTTATTATACAAGATATTAATGTGTTTTTTTTTCTAAAACACTGACGTGACATATAGTGCATATATTATGTATAATTAATAGTTCACACGTGTCATATAAACATTTAATTACACATCTATATTGATAGCAATATTGTCATCGTGTACTGTTTGTGCGCCATATTTGTTCCCAACAATATTTCGAGGAAACGTATTTCACACACTAAATATATTTCTTTGTTAATTTTTCACCAGATGGACAGCAATTACAATTGACTACAAGTCTCGATCAAAATATTTTAGGAAAAATGATGATAGTCTATTCCACGAAATGTGACATGAATTGGCTTTGCCGTTTAAAGGACTAATCTGATATACACTGAGTGGCGATGAAATATATCTGGTGATCATATTCAGAAATATTACCAACACATAGACATTGAATACAAAGGGGATTGAAATACAAGTCTTAACCAAACGATATATTACATTATCTATCACAGTTTAGGTTATTGTTGTGGTAGATTCAAACAAAGACTTGCAGCTAAAAAAACCAGTATCACAGTACTTACTAATAACTGTTCATTAATAGCGATTCGTCCACTGCTGTTGACTTGCTTATAACAGCGACGGTATAAAACAGTGGTGTTAAAAATGTATATGCAAATTAGCATAATGTTATTAATAAAACATCCATATATGTGGATGTTGTGAATATACGTTTAATACATCCTACATCTATTTTGGTTTCTGAATGAAAAAAATAACATGGCATCTCATTCATGCATTAGATACGTATATATCGTGTTCATTTAAAGCATGATTATGCATTAACCAGTCAATGAGAGTTGCTATATTCTCAATCGATGAAAACACAGGATTTTCTGTGTTTTTTTTAGTTTGAGAAACGACAAAGGTGAACATTCCGCATCAGCTACCGTATCTAAGCACTAAAAGCAGAATATGTCGATGTACCAATAACACACGAATCTGTTTTAGAGCGGATGTTGCGGGGTATTTCAAATTGGCATTATAAGGACTTGTTGAAGTAGGTTTTTTTAAATTTGGTCTGGAATTGAGCTATATATATTGATGTAATAAGTTTCTTAAGGTGTAATATTTCTTCGTCTAGGATGAAGCTACACATAATATAGTAGCTACGAATATATTAACCTTTGAATTCAAATCACATGTCTGTAGCGACCAATTTAAACTAGCTTCGGTTGCGTATAGTTGGATTCATAAATAAA